GGTTCGCTTGTCCCCGAACGTGGGCTATAGATGGTCCGCTTGTCCCCAAACGTGGGCTGTAGATGGTCCGCTTGTCCCCGAACGTGGGCTGTAGATGGTCCGCTAGTCCCCGGACGTGGGCTGTAGATGGCATGCTTGTCCCCGGACGTGGGCTGTAATTGAGACCTGCAAAATAAAATTTTCCAAGGGACTCGTATAGACTATGATTGACTTGACCAACTGACTTGACCAAGCTTGACTTGACATGACATGACATGTGTATAACTTGTGGTTGTGTGTGTATATGGTGTGTGTGTGTGCAAACACAAGCAACAGAAAATGCAAAAGCAAAAATTTTCCATCATTTTTGTCATGAGACGAGTGGAAGGTATTTACTTTTTCCCGAAAAAGAAAGACGTGAAAAATGAAGTTTTGTTTTCAAACTTCCCTCAATAAAAAATTTTAAATTTTTTTTGAACTTCCCCAAAAGAAAATATTGAAAAAGGGAAGAAGTTTTGAACATCCTCCTTGAGCAAGACGAAATGAATCGTATGGATTGAATTTCTTGTCCTGAAAATAATGTATGCATGATGCATGTGCTTAGGCCAAGAGGCTAAGGACAATTACATCATGTGACACGATAGATGAATGAACTTAGATCATGGAGCTAAGCATCAGAAGCGATCTTGAACGTCACTTAGGTCTGGAAGTTAAGCACGTATATAAATGAAGTGATTATGAACGTTGCTTAGGTCAAGAAACTAGGCACGATATGCTTTTATGATTACAAATCATTGATATATAAATGTTGCTCGACACATTATGCGATGCATGAAACAATGAACATTGCTCAGGTCAGGAAGATAAGCAAGTATACAACGTTTCTTTTAATGAATGTTGTCTTGAAAGATGATTAAGCATGCGCGGTAGGGAAACAAGATTTCATGATAAAGGGTTCATAAGGGAAAGATGATATGGCTATGTATGTGTGAAAGTGATACTAAGGTGAGGCTGCAAAGGCTATGGTGAGGGAAATAGATGTGAGAAGAGTCGAGATGGTGACTCTTTAGGCTAGGTAGGCTAAATTATGTAGGTTCAAGCCCCCAAGTCTAGCTCTAAATGGGTAGGGGTAAGCATTGGATATTCTTTGACTCGATCGTGCATATGAATGTGAATATGAATGTGGCCGCACCTCGATGTGAGGTTTCCTGCGTATCTGTTAGGAATCAAGCCAACGTAGCTCTAGCCGAACTTTGCACAAGTGTATGTACACCTCAAAAAGGTCTAAAAAGGGTTGTAATGTGGTTAAGATGATGGTTTAAGGAAGAAAGGGGTAAAAGGCTCAAGACCCGAGCTAAGCCCCCAAGATATGCAATTGTGTATATGAAAATTTGAACTCTTCAAGTTTATTTTTCATATATTTTTTATTTAAAAATTTTTTTTTGAACCAATGTAGGCAATCTCAGATCATGCGGTCCATCACTCACTTAGAATTCATGTTTCTCAGGCACGGTACCAAGCACTCGATGAGAGACGCAATTTGTGACGTGTTCATATCAAAGACATTAGAACACTTGCCTTTAGACATTGTTTTTTTCATTTATTCTTTTCTTTTTTATTTGAACTTGCTTTCTGAATGTTACACAATTTGCACACCTTCCCATCCAAGGGTTTGGTGAATGTGGGTTGAATAAATGAGGCCAACCGTTAGACGAGGCTCAAAGTGGTTGATGAAGAAATGGATCAGTGATTGAGTGGTTAATGGGGAATGACAGGGTTGCAAAGGTGCCTCAAATCATTGGTGTACCTTGTGTTTAGTTCGGCAATCGATGATTATTTTTTTTTTTTTTTGCTTATCACGTGATCGAATGTAAGAAAGAGATGTTCATTTATGAATAAGGTAAGAAATGTGACATATAGACACATGGATAAGGAGAACTTATGCTAGACTTTTTAGGGGGAAGGGTTTGAAAAAAAGAAGAAAACATGAAATCTTGGTGAGAAGCTTGCATCGTGCTTTTGTTTTCATGGATGTTTATGAGTTACTTCTTGCCGCCTAGTGAGGAAAAAAGTTTGTTGTTGTTGATGCTTTGATTGGAAGGAAAGAAGGAAGGTGTGACATTCCCTTATTCTCCCAACTATTGCCTAGTTATTTTAGACTCAAGTATTGTGTAAGGAAGAACTCACTTAATGCATTCACTCAATACTCGGATTGAAAAGGAAGAGTGTATGAAACGATTTTGAAAACTGATGGGAAATACTCCACTCATTCCTATTACGACGGAAAACGATGCATGCATGGTCCTAGTATACGATCATAAACAATATATTGCATTACTCGAAGACAAAGTGTGTGCAATGACTCAAGATGTGTGATTAGGTGAGTTTATTAAGACTCATGGTATGATCGCATGGCTAGATATGAGGACGTTGTGAAAAACAAAGGACCCAATGACCAAATAGCACGGAAGACTAAAAGACAAACTAAATTGATTAATTTTGTCCAATTTTAATGTTTATGCTATTTACTAGGTGAAAACGGTCCATTGGCAATCGTTAGTCATAAATAAGATCGACCACAATCAAAGACAAAGAACACATGTTAAGGTTAGCACAAAAATCGATCACAAGAAACTAGGAAGAGGATTAGAATTCTAGAAGAGTTAGGACTCATGAGTATAAAATAAATAAATAAATAAATACAAATAAAAAATCTATAATCCTATGTTATACGAGTTGACACGGATTAAAGGAATTGGCTAAGACTAGCTTGACACGAAAAGATATTAAAAAAAAGTTGACATTAAAAAGACACCTAAGCTGGACAGGCTGCAGTATATCAGTTATAACTTTTGATCTGTGATTTTGATTGGGACGAAACTAACTACAAATAAAAGATAAAATTTGGGGCTACATATCCATATGTGGCACGACAAATAACTACTTCTAGAACTCTAGATATGACCAAAACAAGTTGACTCTTGTGCAGGATACGAGAATAAAAAATTTGGGTGACTCAAAAATTAAAAAAAAAAAAACTATGACTCGACACTTATAATAAAAAAAAGGGTTTGAGAAGAGAAAAAAATAATTAAAAAAAGTCAATAAAAAAAGCACATATAAGCATATCGTCACGCATGATGCAATGAAGTTCGCAACCTAAAGTCAAATTCTATGTTCGACTATGGTCAAGCTTTTGGGTGTCAAAGGGTACCATGGTTAAGAGTTTTGACGCGTTAGCAAGGCAGCCTCCCTAGAGGGTGTATGCCAACGGGCGGCTCTGCGGGTTTGTGATAAAATCAAACTCGACTCCATGGTTTGGGTGGATTTAAAAACTCGGATGAACCCTTATTGCAATGAGCGTTTTCGGGTTGATAGAGTATAAATCCCCCGGGCTAGCCACATACGTAGAACACGTACTATTGTGGCAAAATAGGTAGCCTAAAAAGCATATGCATATGTGACAATGCCAATTAAATCGCAGGAATACAATTCAAGAATCTTTCAAGTCTCATCCACTCATCTCAATTAAATACCGATCACTCAAATCGATAAATAACCAAGAATCCTCCCCAGTGGAGTCGCCAAATTGTAGGCGTCGCTCAAAGTGCGCCTACGTTAAAAGCATGTGTGAATATGCTTGGCACTCATAGGAAGTGGGAATTGACATAATACGATTAGGGACAAGGAAAGTAGGGAGCCGCCAACAAGTTTTTAAGGAACTTGTAAACTGTTCACGGATCATAAAAGGCAACCAAGATAAAGGGACAACGATAGGCAACAACGATTGATCCGTGAAGGTTACACTCCATTCATAATCCATGAGATTACTAACTCCATATGGTTCGGAACCACAAAAGGAGGATTGAGGATGATGGTACGAAGTGAGTCATGGAGTCACATTCGTCCTTATTCGCCTCTACTCGATTCTTATAGTGAAAAGTGATTCCTGCGATCTCAAAGGCATACAAACAAAAATTCAATTTGCTCCAAACTATTATTATGCTAAATTGGTTGAATATTAATGCAACACATAATTCTAAAATATTTGTGATCATTGAATTAAATAACAAGATTAAAAAGGAACCTAAACCGGTTGTCCAAATTATCTTATTAGGCGTGATTTTCAATTACACATTCCCTTTAAACATGCAATATGGTGATCATAAAAAAATAATAGAATCAACATTAATATTGGAAGCAATTTAACAATAATAGCGTTAGTCAAATCAAATATAAAATTAACCTAATCATGATGTTAGAAATATTAAAATAAAATAAGAGTAATTAAATAAATTAATTACTCACATTCCACACGTTCCTTTAAATTGCTACATTATGAATAAACTGTTAGTAACTTCAATTAAAATATAAATCAAAGTGAAACAATTAAATTAAATAAAAATTAGAGTTGATTTAGTCCAAACCCTTAGTCAATTATACCTTTCACACCTTGGTTTAAGTATAGAACTTCAGGTATTGTATGGACTCCTTAGAGTGCTTAAAGGAAGGAATACGGAAAGAATGGGGAGGCTAGTGTTTAGGCTAAAGAGGGAGAAAAGAATTATTTGATGATCAATCTTGTTGATGATTGGAAAAGGGGTGATATGACCTCTATTTATAGAGAAAAAAAGAGAGGAAGTATAATTCCAGGGTTGAGAGACGTTTGCGAAGTGTCTCTCAATGGCATTTTTTCAATAAAGTCAAAAATTAAGTAAAACGGGAATGGATTTGGAGGGAAAAGTAACGGGAAGCTAAAAAACGAAACGGAGTGGTCGTAAAAGTAGGATAGTGACATGTAAATAAAATACAATTTTTTTGGGAAAGGCGATAGTGACATTTGATTAAAAAAACTCAGTGTTGTTGTACTTGATTTCTCCCAAACTCAAAAAGGAAAAACTTGTTGAAGAATTTTCGGAAAAGGCCAATTCCAGAACTTTGATAACACCATGGGAGAGGTTGGGTAAAAGTTGAAGCTCCAAAAAACCATCTTGAAACTGTGTTGAACTTAGGCGAATGCAATGGATGGTGTTACTAATGTCGACGCTGTCGTTAGTAACACTGGGGATGATGATGATGATGTACTGGTGGTCGATGTGGTGAATGATGGAGGAGGAGGTAAGCTCGCAGAGGTGAATGACGGTGCTGCTTTAAGGGAGTTGTTGAAAGGGGTAAGTATTTGAAAATTCTATAGTATAGTTGATTGATTGCTAAAATTTTAGGGTTTTTTGAGTAATACATCCACAAATGATTTGAATTACTGCATGAAAAGGGTTGTTGACTAATACATCCAGAAATTGACAATCACCAACTATCCCCATATGTAATTTAACAGTGTACTCGGATTTTTGCCAAAATTTTAGGGTTTGATGTTAGTTAAAATCAGAAAATTTGTGCAAAAACGCAATTTTGAAGTTTGTGTTATTGAGTAATTTAGTCAGTAAAATATTGTTCAGTCGTATTATAATTGAAGATTTGTATAGACAATTGAAGTGGAAAATTGGAAAAATTCAATATTTATTAGCATTTCGTATGTAGTTAATGGTGTTATGTTGTCTCAAATTGAAAATCAGTGGTATGTTTTGTGTAATTTGGTTAAGATTAATTACTTTTTGGATATGTTAGTTGTTAAGATTGGTTAGTGATTTTGGTGTTTGTTTAAGGTTTTATTTGTTATAGTTTCCTCTGGCATATGTGTATGGATATCAGTTTTATTTGTTATATTTATTTCTCAATGAAGGTTGTGGTTGCTGAAGAGTCTTATAAGACTCCAAAGAAAGGCTTTAGTAGTGTTGCAATATCAGTTGAGATAGAAGAGTATGTTCAAGTGGATGTTGGTCTTCCTCCTCCTTCAATTGGGATGGTTTTCCAGTCATGGCAGGAACTCAATGAATATTTTAGGGAATATGGGAAGCAGAATGGATTTGGGGTTGTCGGTACTAGTGCTTGTAAAGTAGGGAAAGGGCCTAATGCAAAAATGAGAAGGAATTGTTTGTGGATTTGTGAGTGCTTTGGGTTTCCTGTTAGGAAGCGGAAGAAGGTGGAGGATAGTTTAGTGACTGATGCTCAGGTTGTTGAGGATGAAGCGGTTGGTGTTCAGAGGAGGAGTAAGAAAATTCAATGTCCTGTGAATGTGTATGCAAATGTTAATGAACGTGGGGAATGGGTTATTTAGAGGGCAGTACTTCAGTATGGTGGACACACCCTCACTCCTGAGAAGGCTAAGAATATTAGTAGGTTGAGGAAAAAGTTTCTGATGGAGAATCCACATGTTGTGAGGCAGCTTTTCAATGAGCGCAGATGTGGGGTTCCTTTGGCAAAAATCTATAACAAAATGGCTAGGGAGCGTAATGGGGTGGAGAACATGCCCTTTTCCCAGAAAGATCTTCATGATGAAGTCGCTAAGCAGAAGAAAAGAATTTATGATGAAGGTGACGCTAAAGCAATGTTTACTTATTTCCAAACTATGGTTGATGATAACTTTGATTTTTTCTACACATATCGAGTTGATGAAGAGGGTAGGTTGAAGGATGTTCTTTGGGTAGATTCTAGGTGTCGCATGGCATACGAGGAGTTTGGTGATGTAGTTTGCTTTGACTCCACATACTTGACCAATGAGTACAAGTTACCGTTTTGCAACTTTGTGGGAGTTAACCACCATGGTCAAACTATTCTATTTGGGTGTACGCTTGTTAGGAGAGAGACTACTTAGACCTTTGAGTGGGTGTATATAAATTGGTTGCGGTGTATGCAGAACAAAGTCCCTATTGCAATACTAACTGATCAGGACCCTGCGATGAGGAAAGCTCTAAAGACTACAATGAAAAGGACTACACAGAGGTGGTGTGTTTGGCATATTCTGAAAAAATTCTCTACGAAGTTGGGGAAGCATCGTATTATCCTGTGTTGAAGGAAGACTTAGAGAGTGTTGTGTATGATAGCTTGGACTGTGGAGAGTTTGAACGACGGTGGGAAGAAGTGATCAAGAAACACGAATGTGAAAGCGACGAGTGGTTGGAAGGTGTGCTGTGATGATCTCTTTGTTTTTAGTTTTCTTATAATAGTTGACATGAAAATGAATTAGTGTGTTGTGGGGTGTATGGTAATTGTAGTGTGTACTATGTTTGGTAACTCTGATTTCTTAGTAATTATGTTGGTTTGTTGCTAATTTGGAAGAAAAGTAGTGAACTTCTTTGTACTAACTTTGGTACTGTTTGTGTGGTTAGTAATTATATTGGTGGTTAGTATATATGGTGGTGTTTTGTTATTTTGTCTATGTATAATTTTGAGTTTGGTTTTGGGATTAACAAGTATTGGCTTTTTTTTTTTTTCAGTAACTATTGGTCGGTTTTGTGTTTTCAAGAAGTATTGCCCTTATCCTGTGATTAATTGTTTTTGTGATTTTGTGATTTTGTTGATGTTTTCAATCATCGTTCTGACTTCCTTTACAGTAGTAGAGACATTTTTAGATTGGCCTGCTTTGCTGACTATTTATTGGTGTTATGCACATTGTATTTACCTTCTGTGTTATTGGGCATGGTGTTTTTTATTTCTGAAGGCTTGTTTCTTGAACGCGATATGTGGTTCCCTACGTATGTAAAGCATCTTTTTTGGGCCGGAATGAAAACAACCCAGAGGGTTGAGAGCATACACGGTTTCTTTGATGGTTATTTGAGCAGGCATACATTGCTTAGTGAATTTGTCAAGAGATATTGTGAAGCTCTGGAGGTTAGAGCTACAATTGAGAAAAGAGCTGATGACAATAATTCAAGATTTGTCAGGCAACCCATCACAGCCTTTCCAGCCGAGTCTTTATTTCCGAAAATCTATCCCGATGCGAAATTCAAAGAATTCCAAAGGGAGTGCACTAGGGTGCTATATGTCACTGGTCTGGAGAAGAGGCAAATATTAGACACACTGATAGAACATGTTCTTGAGGATATTGTGTGGTTCAAACCGAAGAATTCAAGGAAAGAAGTACCTTCGCAGAGGAAACGGGTGTACAAGGTTACATACAATAGCAGCACCCAAGAAGATGAATGCGAATGTAGGTACTTTCATTGCCATGGTATAATATGTCGCCATATGATTATGGTGTATCAAATGAATAATTGTAGAGAAATTCCTGACAAGTACATCCTACATTGTTGGAGGAAAGATGTTATTAGGAAGCATACTAGAGTAAAAGTGAAGTACCATGATCCCAGCAAGACGGAGGCGGTGTGTAGGTTTGATAAGATGATGGGGAAGTTTTCTCCCATTTGTTCAAAGGCATCAATTTACAAGAGTGTGTCTGATGTTTTGTTGAACGGTCTGCAATTGCTTGATATCCAAGTAGAAGAGAAATTGGCCATGTTGTCCCGTAATAGATCTGATCTTTTGGGGTGTAACGGCACACCGTCCTCCGTGTGTTTGGAAAAGGAGGCTACACCACCTACTACCGAAAAGAAGGACTTGTCTCTTGAACTTGCTACCATAAAGGACCCGCCCATTCCGAAAAACCTCCTCACCGTACCACAGATTCGAGGTACAAGTCATGCGTTGAAAAAGCTAAGAAACCGGGAAAGAGGAGCAATGGAAATCAAGGAACAGGTGGTGGGACTGAAATCAACCCACCACACTCATTTGTTCCACAGGTATTTGTTTAAATTTATGTTTTTCTAGTGATACGTTGAGATTTGTGTTTGAAACGTGATTGAATAATAATTTTTTTTTTTAAAAAAAATAGGAACAACATCTACCATTTCCTATGATGGGTTATAGTCCTCATTGTGTAGGAGGCATTCAAATGACAGTTGGTGATGGTTCATTGGGGTATTTTAACTTTTTGTCTAGAGTGCAGCGTCCTCCTTCTTCTGGGTCTGCTGAATCCCCATCTTAAAGGCCGTTTTATCCCCCATTTTTTGTGTCATACCAACAATATTGTCATATGGCGGGAATGGAGGGAATGCCAATGCAAATGGGTGGTTCTAATTCGCCTAACACGACTGTATCTCAATACTCATACCACCTAGTGAGGCTTGCAATGCCTGGAAATATTAGCCAAACAACTCCCAACCACGGTGGTCGTCCTACTAACAGCAGTACAGAGTAGCTTCAAGCAATGGCCCAAACCCTGTTTTGTGTATGAAACTAACACCAAAACTGAGCTGATAACCCTTTTGTTTTAGTTGGGGGCTCAAAAACATTTGGTATTCCAGGTTGATTTTTTTGTAAAGAAATTCTGACTTTTATCTTTTGACAAGTTGTAAGTATATGATGGTTGTGACTATGATGGGTTGATTGTGGGTCTATGTGTTGCCATTACTTGTAAGAAAACTACAGCCTTTTGGAAACATGATGATTGAGTAATGATTTGCATAGGAAATGCTTAAATTCTTAAATGTGTTGAATTTGTATGCTTAAACTCAAATGAAATGGTTATATGGTATGATGTTTTGGTTAGTTTAGCACACCTACCGTCTTTGTTTGATGAATAGTGTGTAAGGGTCTAACCGAAATGCTTACAGATCCATCTAAACTTATTAAAAGGTGAAGGCCCAATAGGACGGTATTAATGGAATAGTTAAAGGATCAACTTAAATGCTTAAAGATCCTTTTGAATTTGTTACAAGGTCCAACTGGTAAAGGCCCAATGGGACTGTATAATGGAAATGTTAATGGGGGGGGTGAAGGATCTAACTTCAAAGTATAAAACCAAATTGTGCAAGTGAAAGGTTGAACTGAACTGCTTTAGGTTACAACTGTAGAGGATTAGCATATTCCAGTTGTACAAAAAGGGATTTGAATACATTTCTTACATGATGCAACTGCATTCTGGTAATTATACTTGTGCGGTGTAATTAAGGATTCGACTGTTATTTGTTAGGGTTCCACTGTAACTTATTAGGGTACTACTTTATACTTAGTATTATTGAAGTAGTGTCCCATTGCCCCGGAAGCATAAGTCAGTGAGGTGATGTTAAATACTGTTATGTAGGGGTTACCTTTGAGATATATTAAGTCCAACAATGGTTTGTTTGAGATATATTATGGTACATTTAACTACAAATAGGGTATAATCAAAATTTAGGAGAAATAGAAGATGCAAATTTATAATGTAATATGTCGAATAATGCAAATTTACGTAAAATAAGAAGTGGGTATAGTGGTCTAATGTTGGTGAAAGTGATGTATTAAAGGTCCTTTAACACTAATGTATGTAGAACTTATAATTGGGTAGGAAAAGTTGTTATTTGTTTAGTTATAACATTTTGATAAACTCGTATGCTTTCATCACATATACCGTTATGTCTTCAGTATATTGCCACCAAAAGCATAATTATTAATACCATTTACCGTTTAGTAAAGCCATGTTTTTTAGTAAGAGCATGTATTTACTAATTGGAATTGTTACCTTTAATATATTATTGTAATACTTTTGAAATATTTTTGTACTAATACTTTTGAAATATTTTGTAATAAATAGCAATACAAATTGTAATAATGTCCAATGACGTGTTGGTTTTGTACCATTGACAACAGGTCATTGTACAGCTGGTACTTCATTCTGTACCATTATTCAAACTTTGGTTGTGTATATAATTTATTTTGTACCACTGAAACGCAAATAAGTCGGTTTGATATAGTGTGAAAAAGGGTTTCACTGTTTGTTTTTAGGGTACCACTGTAAGAAGTTAGGGTACCTCTTTTTATGTACTTTTATTGTTGTAGGTAATTGTAGAAATGGAACTATCATTTGATGCATTGGTGTTACCAACTGTTGTAGAATGGTTAACTCTAGGTGAAGCATGTGTAGCTTTAACTCTTGTTAGGGTACCTCTAAGTTTTTCTAGGGTATCATCAATTAAGTAACAGGCAAACCAATACATTAACCATGCATTTGTGGTGAAATAATTAGTGTTTGATGACGGTGGGGAGATGTATCACATACTCTTAGCTCCTTAACGGTACAATGATAAATAAGAAATGCATAGATATGTTACTACCCCCTCAGTAGTGTAGAAGATGATACGAACTAGTAATGTCATGAGGAAGATATTGAGGATAAACCTTGTTACTTATATGTTCTTGTGTTTATTGTAGAACTACATTGAGGGTTTAAATATTTTACGGTTGAACTGTAGTACGAAGTTCATTTTATTGACGTTTTAAATATTTAGGTAACACTTTGGGTGGGATTAACAAACTTAAAATTCAATTTGGTGGTAATAATGCATTTAATTACTTAATTTAGTTTAAAATGCCCAATTTAGTGTTGGGTTTATACCTTTGGTAAACAAAGTAACACCTCTGAAATTAAAGTAACACCATTGACAATAACAGTTTGCCAATTGGAATATAATTTTGTACCACTGTAGTCTATTTAGTCTATTTAGTCTATTACAGGACACTGTCAGTGGTACTATTAGAGATGATGGTGTAACAAAAGTACAAGGTGGTGTTTTCTACAACCTCAAAAAAGCCTAAGCGCCAAATTTTCGAAGTTTTGCCGCCCAAACTGAAAAGATCTTTCATTTGCCTTGTTTATAAATACCCATATGCAATTCATTAACAGAAAGTAAACTAAAATGAGTGACTTAGAATAAGGTAAACCATGTCTATAAACACAACCTCTTCAGTTGGCCGTGGAAACAACTTTATGGGGGGCGGCGACCTTCTGTGGGTGGCTGCAAAGCGTTGCAATTGCGGGGGCCAAGCAATATCCGAATTTCGTATTTCGCTGTCCGAGGCTAATCCTAGACGACCATACTACAAGTGCAGGTGTTGTTCATTTTGCCAATGGGCAAGGGAGGAGGACATGATTAGAAGCACCAATATTGGTGTAGTAGAGATTTGGCAGAGGCTTGATGTACTTGAGAAGAGAATTGCTACTACTATTAAATATGTAATTCTTGTAGTTGTAGTTGTTATGCTAGTGCGTATCTTAAGTTGAATTATAAAGATTATGATTATTATATGTTTAACAAAGTTTAAAAACATTTTGTGTCTCCAATTATTAGGTTTGTGCTTAAGTTATATGTAATAATTCCAAAAAAATATAAGTTTAAACACATGAAAAAAGTTAAGTACGATAGAACATAATATTATATTAAACGTTTAAACATAACAACATACGTAAAGTTCAAACATCCCACTACATAATACATAAAGTAGAACATAACCGTAGTCTCGTCATAGAGAAAATTAAGCCATTAGAAAGGAATTATAACATCATAGCTAAATCACGCTACATTTGCGGTGTCAACATAGATAAGTGGTCGTTGTCAGAATGCACAGCTCCATCTTCATTCCCCCCTCTGTCTTCGTACCAAGTGGATGCAGGGTGGACTCGATCGGGGCTTGGATAAAATTTAAATCCTGCCTGGATTATTTAAAAAACAGAAGACAAAAGGTCATATTATCAAAAAAATTAATACCAAAGTGAATATTGAATTACTATTCTTACACAAATTCCTTTCGTGAAGGCCATATTATCAAAAAAATTAATACCAAAGTGAATGTTGAATTACTATTCTAACACGAATGCCTTTCGTGTAATTACAAAATCAATGACATTTAAAAATTTAACCACTGACATTTTAAGAAATTATCAAATGGTATTAAAAAAAAATCAAATACATGTACATCGACGCCCATTTGGTGGCCGTAGCTTACATGACCCCTGTGAGTGACCCAAGGATAGACGTCTGACTTTTGCCAAATTAGAAGCACACCGTAGTACCCATTCACCAATCCGAAACCATCAATGGAGTACACCCCCTGAAGGACGTCTCTGATGTACCTGAGCAACGCAGCGTCAGCTCTGGCCTCCGTGAGCACCACCACTTCCGGGGAAAAGCCATTGTACAGCTTGTTGAACGTTTCCTTAAAAGATGGACGGTTCACATTTCGTGCATTCCACACAATAAAAGTAGCACCTTTTGGAAAACATGGAATGGCCGAAATGTCTTCCGTCGAGGCAGAAACAGCGATACGGTGGTACTGAATCCGTCTTAAGGTTGTTTGACATGTGAAAACATTTAAACTAACCAATTTAAAGTTGATATTGACTTCCATCACATAAATTGCAATAATTTTTTACCCAATGAAAATTTTCTTTTATGTTAGAGGAATTGTGTAGATAGGAAGATGGTTGGTCATCAACATTGGCTTACGATCAAATACAGGGATCAAATCTAAGGGTATGAAGGGCGCACCTACCAATTCCATGGATTTTTGACAAAGCCACCTTGCGAATACCGGGACACCTTTGTGGAGGTATCCTTCTATATCGGTCAGAGTAGGATAGTAAGCAGCCCTTACATCGAAGTCTGTCACCTCCATGATGCTGTCGGGGATGAAGGTTGTTGTGTCATCGTCAAGCGAATTAATTAGTTGTTCGCGGACTACGTTCACCGGTATTGGGTCCATGTTAAGGAAGTAATCTTCCCCGGGATAATAACTTATGGCGTTGAAATTGAGCTCGGGCGAAATTAAGCTCGGGCTTAATTGAGGTTAGGAAGGGACTAAAGTACATCAGGGGTTCAGATGGGTGTGGCTGCATAAGCCGACCCCATATGTTGCGCATACTAATGAGACGAGTGGACATGGCTACACTTACTGAGGTTTTGTTTTTCTTTGGAGAGGTTTTGAAGCGGACTGAGTGAAAGACTGACCACACCAAAAAAACAACTAAAGTAATAAATCAACTACAAGCAACCCACTTTGTTCAATTCAAATGGCATTATGTACAACCTGACAACAAAAACAGTGTCTGATGTGACTATTCAACACCCTAGCAGAGTAGGTTATAGTGTGATCTTTTACTAAATTTTTACCCTATGGTGTTACCCTATGACATTACCATTACTAACCATAGTCCAATTGGAAAAGCTTCAGGAAGTACTGACATGACAAAACAATTCACTAGGCACTAAGGCTGTACTTGTACTTTATTACATTTTATAATGATAAAGTTAAATAGGACAGCCTTTACAATTGAAATTAAAAGGGGAGTAATGGTGGAGTATAATTTCCCAAGTGTTGAGTATTAGTTGATAGTGTAATCTAAGAAATCCAAAATTGTGGTACGACTTATCTATTTATTTATCTAAGGACTTCGTTATAAATACAAACAATATAGCCAAAGCATTTAGCCATTTCACCAAAAAATAAAATTCCTCCTTCTACATTATAGCTCAAAATGAAACCAAAATTGAAAACGAAATGAGACATCGTAGATTATATCTTAGATGGTGGCATACAAACCAGTGAATTAACTGAAATATATGGAGAAAGTGGAGTGGGTAAAACACAAATTTGTTTGCAACTACTCCTCACTTGCATACTCACGCCACCAGATGGTTTGTACGGGTGATCTATTTACATTCAAGCATGCCCGGTGTTTCCTTCAAGGAGATTAAGGGATCTAAGCAACAGTATTTGTGCTTCACTAGTGAGTGAAGATCCGTTGTTCTCAGCCCTTGTTAAAAAAATCGACAACCCTGATCAAATTTTTTTGGTGTTGAACCAGGTGGAACAAATGGTGTTGAGGTCACATGAAGAATGCCGACACACAAGAGTTGTTATACTTGACTCTATTGCATACTTGTTCAGGCATGCACATGATAACACGGTAAAAGGGTTCATGGAGAGCAGTCAAGTATTAGTGGCAGTAGCTACAAAGATGAAACAAATAGCAAGTACCTACAACATTGCATTTGTGGTGGTCAATGAGGTGATCGATGTATTCGAACAAAATAGCACAGTCTTGAGAACTTTTAGTTCTGACCGGGAAGTCAAGGCATCATTAGGAGAGAAATGGGAACAACAAGTCTCGAACAAGATGTTCATTTCTAACCAGTACGATAACAATTCAAAGTCATGGTATCGCGAATGGTTGGTGGTGAAAAATACAAATACTGCGCTACAAGGGCGGCGATGCCCTTTCCGCATCACACACGAAGGTGTTCAAACCAAATAAGGAAGGACCATCTACGCTTCGTACGGTATCATCTAGGATTCGTAAGGTACCATTAACAATCAAAATGGTATCATCTAGGATTTGTAGGGTACCATTTAATATAGGTTAACTTGGGTACCATTAGGTTTTCTGTGGAGTACCATTAGGGTCAACTAATGTTCCATTAAGATTATTTATGGTTCCATCAATATTAAATAATGTACTTTTAAGGTTAAGTAGGCTGCGAATAAGGTTCACTAATGTACCATTAAGGTTTAGTGGGATACCATTTGGTTAATTAATGTACTATTAAGGTTAAATAACGTACTATTAACCTTAAGTAAGCTGTCAATAATATTCATGTTTTTTAATTTGAAAGCTCATCCAAGGTAACCAAAGTAGAATTAAATGAGCTGAACCTGACCATTTAAGACGAAGTACAAGGATGGGTAAGTAGAAATAAATGAACTGTAGAATTATTTTACCTAATTGAATAAAAGTCCTTCCACGTTGGGCTCAATGCAACAATTAATAATACCAGTAAATGTTACAGCAAAGGTAGTTGGATGTATTTAATTCATAACGAACTGATTGTCTATATAATGTACACCAAATGCTAATAGAAATTCAGTTCATGGCATACAACCACAACTAAATAAAATCTGAATTTCAACTTCCATACCATGGGAAACAAAGGTAATGCTTCTTTTCCTAATTTTAAGTCTACACAAAGTAATGCTTCTTTTCCTACTTACAATTCTTTGAGTTGTACTATTGAATATGTCAATTGTTTCGGGGTTTTCTGATGTCCTGCGGGAGAATTACAATTCCGAGACTGGAACCGGACGCCTGTACCTGCAAAACAAACGGATGCTCCGGATGATTGGAGATCCGCCTCCGACGGTCAAGTTAGTACTTGATTAAGGAGTAATTAATGCGGAAATTAAAGTGATTGGGTCTCTCTAGGTGAGAGTGTTTAATGTGTGTAATCTGCGTTTTTAGCGTTATCTCCCTTAATGAGGATTAAGGGAGGTATTTATAACCTCGAGAAACGTGTCAATCTAGGTTTAGGTTAACCTTGGGCTGATTGGGCTTCCCTCGGAAGTTGGGCCTAGGTGACCGGTTATCCCAGGTGTCATGGGAAGGACACGTGTCGTGTCGTAATTGGTCCATAGTGGACGGATCATTGCTTGACACGTGGCAGGCTCCTATTGGCCCATGTGACGGACATATGGCGGAACCTGATTGGTCCACTTGTCAGATGGTGATTGGTGGGGAAAAATCCCCTAATCATCAATTGCTGCATTTTAACTCATGTAAATGATTTTTCAGTTGTACTCATAAATATGTCGATTGAAGTTAACTCCGGTGTAAATGTTAATATCAGTGGAACTTATAAAAACATCTGTCGTGTCTTTATTGTCTTTAGCTAATTCTCGTCAGGAACAAAAATGTAAGAAGCTGTTAAGAAGGGTGGCGAAGATCAAAAAAACCGGGATACACGATCCAAATGCTATAATAAGAGATATGTACATGCCGAAGTACAGCCATCGAATGATGTTAAATCACCAACTAGCCACGATTACAAGAGGTGGTTTAGAAGAACCGATAAAAGGGATTGATTTCCACCCAAAGTACCCGTTCTTGACTTTGTTTAAGGTCGGTAGGGCATGTTTCTTTCGTAAGTAGGCATATTGTTTCATGTGGTACTTGGTTGACGTTGCAAAGATAGCAATATGTTTCAACTTGAGGACATTAAGGAGATCTCTAGCTGAGTCTTATGTCTACCCACTTTACCACACCTACCTGAAACACTTCTTTGAGTTTTTCACATACCTTGAGGATTGGTGGTTGGATGTGGATGAGCAAATTGGCAAGGGGAATGAGTGGGGAGTTGTCCTTGGTAAGAGGTTCACTACACCTAATCATGAAGGAATCAGAGTCAAATAGGAATGGCTGCAATTCTCAGCAAATGATCCAACCGAGGTTATTACAACCAACACCGACCAACGCATTTCTTTTCGACGAAAAATGCTAGCTGAAAATGGTTACGATGAGATGGCTAACTTGTCTCTGGTGACGGCCGAACAGTTCAACTACAATGACTACCCATCATAGTATGTCAGACGTCTACAACATGTAGTCTATTTGTATGAAACAAACTCAGGTAGTGACTCGACTAAAGGTCTTGGGTGGTCATCAGAATCTAGTTTCGAGTTTTGTTGACCCGGCTTACAGTGTTGGGGTTAGGGTCTTGGTCTTGGAAATGGGTAATTTAAATTTAGTTTTTCTATATGTATTGCTTTCTTTTACTTAATTATCGGTTTGGTTACGTTTCGCCTAATGTACTGTGCGGACTAATGACTAATTTAGAAGTAATTTAAAGTTCAATCTGTTGTTGTTAACAAGTTTATGATATTTCACAAAGTAGTATTTCTAATTCTACAGCTTCTAAACTCCTGCAATTATACTACAATCTAATTCTGCTACTAATAATTCTACTACTAATAACCAACTACCTTGCATTGTTAAAACCCCAGTCGTCTTAAAGCAAACTACAATGTTCCAACATAGAAAACCTGCATTGTCCACCCGTACTTAGTTTACTTAGTTTTAACAGACCGGCAAAACAACACAATTCTAAACATTTCCACTAAATATCCAAAATACCTAATACCCAATTCAGATGAATATTACACACAACTACAACGTGTTTTGAGAAGATGCAGTCCTTCTTGGGCGGACTCGTTCCTTGGGGAGAATTTCATCAAATTTTGCTCTAAGTTCATTGTATGAGTTATTCGAATCCTCCAAAAACAAGCTTTTCCTCAAGTTCTTCTCCAGCACATCCAAAGATAATATTGTTAACCAAGTACAATATCATTTACCATATAAAAGCTTCACATAACAACTCACAGCAAACATACCATCGGGTAACTAGTATCAAAAGAAATACGGGCACAGTGTTTAATGCAACCAAGCATTAGCACACCACAGGAGAAGCTATACATGAATAGCAGGAAATGTGGTTAGTTTATCTGTCCACTGTCATGTCGGGAATCTTTATGTTGTTTAACTTATATATGTAAATGTATTTCAAATGCATCCTTCATGGTACTTACGTATTGGTTTGCTTGACCATGTCCATCCTATTCCTAGGCCCCTTCTCCAAACTCCCCAACTCCCAACGGGGATCTTTCACTTGGAGGAGAACATCTACTGCCTTCACCTGTGGAGTGATATATTTTGTAATTTCTACAACCTCAAACTTCATCATGGGACATAAAAGAAGATGAGGGATGAATTGGTACATGTAAAATTTAATAGTGAATATGATGAACACAACATAAAGGCCGCAGAAAAAGCCTTACCTAAATGCAACAAAACACATCAAAGATGAATATGAACAACACTTAAGCAGAAACAAAATAGGTCAGTGTCATGTGAACATATATGAATATACTTTCACTAAGAGGCCTATAGGTTAAAAATGAGACCAAATTAAGCATATAGAAATGCAAAGGTACATATAATAGACTTCAGTTGCAAATATATGCGAACCAATATATTAAAACACCTCCAAAGTTAGGAAAAAGCTATTTTGCATATTTTACACTTACAAAAATATCCAAATTGAAAATCTCCACAATATGCATCAACCAACAAAATTCTAACATGATAGCCCAATTTATAGTCAGGGAAGTACTAACCAATTTTGTAACAAGCTCAGAGTGGTGTTCATATGGATCCGAATATAACGAGTCAATCATCCAAAATTGCTTCTTAACCATATCCATGCAAAGGCACCACCAGTGCTCATCCGCCTTTTCAGCCGACCCATCAAGCACAGGGAAGAAAAACTTTCCACACACAGATTCAAACACATTACAACATCACACAAACAGAACAATCGATAACAGAATTGTACATATCCCTAATTAAAACCACAAACTGGTACATACTAAGCGAATCTCATCAGTTGGGATATTTAACAATGGCTTCCCATACTTCCTAGCAAGAAGTGCATAATCCTTCTCCTTTGCCTTAATCATCATCTACACAAAAATTCAACTTTTCACAAACGCAATTTCACAGAAACGCAAGCTAAAAAAAATTGAACGATTCAAACATCTAATACTTACCACATAGGACGAATCAATCAGAATCCTTTTCCTCCTATTAAGGAACTCAGCAGCCGCCCAATACTTTGTATATAATTTGGATGTCGTCCGCACATATTGATGACCCAGACGGGCTTGAGGATCGATTACACCATAATAGTCCCTCTGCGTAGCATTCATTCTATCACACTGAATGATGGACGGGCCCTCCCTGCCATTACAACGACATAACAAACAACACTACGCATTAGGTATCAATACATGCACAACAAAGCCTTTAATCAATTTCATGCACAACTTAACACATTGTGAATCCAAATAAAATAGATAAAATACTTAATGTTTTTCATCCTTCAAATCCTTCCATCCTTTAACAAACGTCTCCAACCGCTTATCATAAGATGTATCTCGAGTCATCATACCAACTTCCCCATTGCTCGAATTACACGACTCTTTCTCCTTAACTGCTGGGACCTTCTCTTTCGGAGCTTTCAACACTTTTGCCCCCTTGTTACTGCTGCCACTAAGATGGGGTTGGCTCCCTTTACCACTGCTAAAAGTGTGCATATCTTGATTAATCTTGGTTCCAGCCTTGGAACCACCACTACCTAATGCACTCCCCACTATGCCCTCAACTAGACTAATAAGCCTAGGAGTTAACAGAGCAAACACCTACGCACAACCAGGAACAGTATCATAAACTCACAAAAAGATAAGAGGCCCTAAATACATATCCAGTCGATAACAAACAAAATACAGAATGTTATAGCACACTCAAAACTGAAACGATTTAGATTGCTGAACTGATGAGACATATACAACAGAAACACAACAATCATACAGAAGAGTGTCCCTCATATGATGATGACTCCCTTGCCAACATTTTTTTTAAAATTTTCATGAACTAACAAATGTAAAATGTGCTCTTCTATCTTCACTTTCTTATTTTAAGGACAAACTATTCTATCCTCAGCCACTTTCCTATTAATCAACCCATACTCCTCAATTCAAATGGTTATGAGACAGCTTTAAGTTAGATATGTAAGACACCAAATCAACTTTCATGAATTAAGAAAATATGCAAATCTCAATCAACACCTGTCACTTACAAATTACCATTCTGAAAACACATTACTCAGCAATTGAACGCATACACAATCTTTTACTCTAACCATTCTAAACACAATTCCTACCAATAACAATACCAGGAAACCATAATTTCTCCATTCCCACATGATAAACAAGAACACATACACCTGCCTAACCCAAGGACCATAATCATACATATTTTACGCATGCACACACTTACTCTAACATTCACATAGTCCCATATCCAACATTAAACACACAGGAAAAGTTTAAAAATCAACACCAATACATTTCCAGATTATTTCGCATAATGAAATCAAAACACGCACCATTTCCACTATGTATATGCACAAACTTACTTACCTGATCAGCCATAGAACTAACAGAATTATTAAGGGAGTTATCAACGGCTTTTGTTCGCACCAGCTCCAGATCCCCATCATTACGAGGCACCAGAGGATGGTCCTCGCCATATGCAATGTCAAGAACCTGTTACACCCACAAGTACAAAAATCAATCCTGTCCAACATAAATGAATAACCAGATTTTATTGTCAACTCTCACCGGCAAATAGCCAAACTCTTCATCAGACTTCCGATCTTCATCTACAACTCCTCTCACATGTTCAGAATCCCACACCATCAACCTAAGGTATATACCCCACCTATTTGGGACACGATGAAGGTGATCCAAATAAAAAATCTGCATTTCCCAAAAAGATTATTTAATAACCATATACATATGATTTTAAGACAATACATAACCAAAATGGGTAACCTTACCAACAGAAACACAAAACTCCCACCACAACCACAACGAAAACCATCTTTCTGATTCTAAAAGCGATCATTACAGTCATGCACCCAGTCAATTGTGAACTTGCACCAATCATAATTTCCCGCTACACATGCAACTGCCAATGTTGGCACTAATGATGCCGCCAAGTTTGAACTGTTTGTGGTCGTGCAAACTATCATTCCAAGGGCAACACTTAGGAAAGCAATCATAAAGTCCTCTTCATCCACTTCATTCTGCAACTCCACCAAAGAATCATCTTCAAGCTTAGGGCACATGGCTTCAGCTGCAAGATTAAGAGACACTGTTTCTCACTTCAACCCAACACCATATTGTTGAAACACCCGCATAATCCTCTGGGTGTCCTCTTCATCATCGCCGAGAATTACAGGAACTTCCTTACTACCCATCGGAATACCAAGGATGGACCTGACTTGGTTTGGCCCCAGAGGAAGAATTGAACCATCTCCAAACACCATGGTCCCATCACCAAAAATCCTTCTCATTAGCCAGTAACAAAACTGCCTCGGGATATTTTTCATATCCAAATGCAGCAACCCACCAAATCCCATTCGTTCCACCAACTCCCGTCTCTTGGGATCAAACTTTTTCACCAACAAACAACCCCTTTTCCACCCTACACACAATATTGGGTTGCTGCAACACAAAAGGCATGAATATTAGCATCACCATCTCTACCTACACCTACCAAAAGGGAAAGAATATCAACATTTCTATACCTTGCCAAAGTTCTCATAATGTGTGCGTAGGACTGCACCATCTGCGATCACTCTATGTCCTTCTGTTTGAATACCCTACAAATATAAAGAATAGCTAGTTCTCACACTTCATAATATCAAGTTTTGTATTCTCTGCCCAACAGATTAACAGCTTATTAGTACACATGTAACACACCAACATGCAATTCAAAACTACTAATCAATCCATGTGATTATAATACCTACAATACAAACTTCTGTGCATATAAATAGGATTAATTTAATTCAATACATAAAATTTGATGGCAATAAAAATAGTTGTATCTTTCCAAATCGATTCAGAAATTCCAAGTGTTCAAATCAGTTCAGTCGATTCACAAATGCTACATCGTAATAAAATTGGCTGGAAAACTAGTTCATACCTTCTTACTCGACTTCCCTTTTCTCTTCTTAGCCTTTCTCTTCATGTACTCTCTAAACATCACCTTCATAAATCCAGAACTTGAATCCGAATCTCCATCACTGCTCGAAGGTTCAGATTGCTGCTCAGCATCATCACCTTCTTCGTACTCGTCAAAATCAGAATTTGCCTTACTAGTCGCCAGTGGTTTCGATTGGCCCCCACGTTTGAGGTTCGATGACAAACCCACGGGTTTACACACCTTCCTTTTTAAGGGGCCCTGAAAATCAGTGACAAAGGTTAGTTCTAACTCTTTAAACAATATTCACTCCACCATTCCATATAACCATAACCAACAAATACTCACCCCCCCCCCACTTTGTCCAATTCATCGACCGAACAATTGACTTCTTCTTTTTCACTACCCAATCTGCTCAAACTGCCCAAAAGTTGAAGCACACACGTTAGACTTTCACTACATTTTCATTACAACATAATAAACCTAAACTATTAAAACACGTATTAAATCAAAGATATAACATCAAACTAATTGCATGGCACCTTTCTATCACATCTCAATAAAACTAATTGCAAATGTACCTAAAACTATGTCATTGCAGATAAAGCTAATACTAGTCAACCTAAATCATAGCTAACTAATTGATGTGGTATGACTCAAATAACCTGAAATAACTAAGGAAATAGAATACAACCTAAACCATATACCATGAAATAAACCCTAAACCTTGTTCAATTTAGACCCTATTTGGGACATAGAATACAACATAAACCACCATAAATAGCAAATTTCTAATTACTAATTTAGAAGTAAATTAAAGTTCAATTTGTTGTTGTTAACAAATTTCTGATAATTCACAAATTACTAATTCTAATTCAATTACTCAATTACTCAACAATTACTCAATTACTCAATAAAACTCAATTACTCAATTACTCAAATAAATGATTAACAAGGAAATAGAATACAACATAAACCATCATAAAAAGCATAAAACATGAAATATACCATAACACACCATATACCATGAAATAAACTAAACCTTATTCAATTTCCTCGCCAAATTAGACCCTATTTTCCAGAGTACTCCGATTCAATTACTGGACATTATCCATTGTTTCCTTGAACACAACATAAGTCATCCCACCACATGCCAAAATTTCCCAATTTTAAACATTCAGATGCAAAATTTCCCCAAACCTAATTTCAAGCTTCACTACATATTTTTAAACCCAAAGTCATCCCACCACTTGCCAAAATTTCCCAATTTTAAACATTCACATGCAAAATTTCAGGTTTCGCTACAACATTTTAAACACACATCTTCCCAATTTCACATTAAACCTTAGAAGATAGAAATCCATTCAATTAAACTACAATTTCAGTCAAACCATCACAAAACGACCCATTCGTCCCCAATACTAACAAATTTATACAATTTAACTAAATTACCCCCCAAATTACACAAACAACACAGCAAAACCCTAAACGCCAGCTACAGATTAAACCCGACGTTTTATATTTCAAATTTCAATAATTTAACAATTAATAATTTAGCAAATACATACGTACCAAGAATTGATGGACTTTTGGTATAATTTCTAGCGAGAATGGAAGAGAAGAGGTGAACTACACCGAGCGTCGAGGAGAGAGAACGAGATCGTCGACGGAGGAGAGAGAAAAAATGAAGAAACAGAAAAAATGAAGAGAAAGAAATAATGAAGTAACACGGGAGACAATGAGGAAACAGGGAACACAAAACGATGTTTTCCATAAGCAAAATAGGACAGGAGGGGTCAGACTTTTTCAAAACGGAGACGCTTTACCTCGAAATGGAGAAGCTAGGTGGCAAAATTCAAATTATATGTAAAAAGACGCTTTTTACCCTGTGAGATATAGCTAAACGCCTCGCAACACTCCCTTTAAAAAGCCTCAAAAAAAGAAGGGTAAAAAAATTAGGGAAATTTTCATTGGTACATCCGTGGTTTTGACTTTTCTCATTGATACACTCCAAAATTTTTGCCTTCTCATCGGTACACCCGTGGTTTAGTCTTTTTCCCAACCGTGACTAACACCGTTAAAAAGTATTTCATTAAGTTAAACATCTAATGTCTCGATTTGCGTGTCGAAAATTATTCGGTTAAAGTTTTGAGAGTCCTTGTTGTTAAGGATCCAAATAAACCTCGAAATTAGCAAAAAAATAACGCAAATGTCTCATATGCGTGTCAAAAAATGTCTCGATTTGCGTGTCATTACTTTTTTGTAATAGTAATTATTCGGTTAAGGTTTTAGGAGTCATTTTGACCCTTTATGAGTCTAAATCGAACTCAAAATTGTCAAAAAATGTCTCGTTTTGCGTGTCATGACAAAACAAAAAAGAAATATCATGACGTGCAAAATGAGATATTTTTTGACAATTTCGAGTTCGATTTAGACCCATAAAGGGTCAAAATATCTCCTAAAACCTTAACCGTACAATTACTATCACAAAAAAGTAATGACACGTAAATCGAGACATTTTTTGACACATATATGAGACATTTGCCTTTTTTTTTTGCTAATTTCGAGGTTTATTTGGATCCTTACCAACTAGGACTCCCAAAAATTAAACCGAACGATTTTCGGCACGCAAATCGAGACATTAGATGTTTAAAAGGGGTATTATAGTCTTTTCCTTAATTATTTTAACTTAATGAAATACTTTTTAACGGTGTTAGTCACGGTTGGGAAAAAGACTAAACCATGGGTGTACCGATGGGAAGACAAAAATTTTGGAGTGTATCAATGGGAAAAGTCAAAACCACGGGTGTACCAATGGGAATTTCCCAAAAAATTAAGATAAAATCCGAATTAAATCGGAATAAAACTCGATAGACTACAGTTTTTACGGTTTTTGTTTTTAACATATCTTTTGATCCAGAAATCAGAATATGATGAATAAGATATCGTTGGAAATCTCTTGAAGTCTACTTTCTAAACCAATTAGAATTAGATTAAAATATTTTATATAATAAAAGATATGGCCCAAATAGTGAGACGGTGTCAGTTTTTGATAGAGTTTGATATTTTATTCATATCTTTTCCGTTATAGCTCAAAATTGATATTATAATATATCATTTGAAAGATAATTTCAAGTTCTATCCAACCATATAAAATTTGGATAAAAACTATGAGGCACGAAAAAAATATCTGTCTATCTTTGAACGTCTTTCAATTCGGATAGAAATAGGATTTTTCAAAAAGAAAAGTTTTATTCAATTTCAAACTCTTTAATCTTATCTTTTCAAAAAGGATAATTAAGATCTTTTAGAAACTTATAGAAGCTTCTATTTAATCCTTATTGGTTTAGGGTGGGATTAAAGCTTTTGAAACCTCCACATGATCATTGGGTCGTAGGTAAGGTGGGCTTAGGTTCGGTTTGTGCTCAATTTAATATTTTGGCCATAACTTATTCGTTATAACTTGGATTTGGGCATATAATATATCGTTGGAAAGCTCTTTTCAAACCCCATCCAACTATTCAATCATTGAACCCAGATAATAGACCAAAATAAACTGGGATAAACGTTTTTATAAAAAGGACACGAAATGAATGATTATAAAGGACACGAAATGAATTATTTTTAGTTCAAAGGCACAAAAAGAGGAAAATAAGTTATGGTTTGGGGAAATGGGATAGGAGTTGGGTTGGTTTAATGAAATGGAAATATGGATTTAAGCACTCCAAGATTAAATACTTAACCCGACCAATAATGGAGGTGAAAGGTTGTTCATCATCGGGTTTGGTTTTGGGGAGACATTTTTAGGTGTCTACAGACCGGTTAACAGTTGATGATTTTTTGCGTCGCTTTTTATTATTTTCAACGACCGTTTGGAAAACTATCACAACTATATATATAATTGCGACCGGATTAATTAGCGGTCGCAAAAAATAGATTTAGCGACCGTCATAAGCCGTCGCTAAATTTTTTTTTTTTAAAAAAAAAAAAAAAAAAAAAACAAAACACACCCACCCCTTTACATCCAGCCTCGCCAACCCACCGCAACCACCTTTACCCACCCTAACCACCTTTACCCACCACTGCTGTCAGCCCTTACCACCTTTACCCACCACCACTACCCACCCTAAAATACCACCAACCACCTCGAATCACCTCGAAAACACCTCCACCCACCACGAAAACTCCATCCCACCTCAGATTAACATCCTTTTCCCACGAAAACCCAAATCAGCCACAATAAAAGCCACCCGTAAACCAAATTAAAAAAAAATCGAACATGAAAATCAAACAAAATTAAACCAACTAAAATTAGCAAAAATCAAATCTAAAAATAACAAAAATCAAACAATTTCACCTCGAATATCAAACCCAAAAATTTATGAAAATTAAGCCACAAAATTATCCAAAAAGTACCTAAAAATCTAACCTAAAAATCAACAAAAAAAAAAAACAAACCCAAAAAGAAACATAAAACAATGAAAAACAAAACAAAAAATAAACCAAAAACACGAAAACATGCCTCAATCTTCGAAATTTACCTCAAATTTGGTTTAATAAGGCCAAAATCAACCATGAAAAGTCTAGATCTAGAGTTTTTATGGTCGAATTCGACCTTGAAAACCGTTAACTTGTTTACACCATCACCAAACTCGCCAACACGAGACTCGAACTCGCCAACACCGTACTCACCATCACTGGACTCTTTAAAAGGAGAAAGAGAAGAGGAAAGAGATCGGGAAAAGGAGAAGAGGAAAGAGAAGAAGAAGAAAAGAGGAAAGAGAGAAAGGAGAAGAGGAGAGAAAGAGGAAAGAGAGAGTAGACGACTTTCAACAAATTAGGGTTAGAGTGGACTCTTTTATACTCTTTTTTTAAAATAAACAAAAAACAATTTTGCAACTAGCATTAGCGGTCGTAATTTTGCGATTGTTTCTCATACAGTCGTAATTATCGCATTTTGCGACCGCTACTAACGTTCGCAACAGTATTAATTTAATTTTGAATTATTTTTCACATGTATTTTATTTTTAAAATATATTAAATACCTTTGCGACCTTTATATAACCCAAAAACGGTTGCAAATTTGTGACCGCTTTAAAAACGGTCGCAATATTGCGACCGAGTAAAAATAAGTCGTAAATATCATATTTTGCGATCGTTTTCATGACGGTCGTAGTAAAACAGTCTCAAATAGGCCAACTTTTAGTAGTGTGGTAGAGTTAAAGTTAGATTTTAGTATATGTGGGTTGGGCTTGTAGAGTTGTAGTTTAAAATATATTTAAAAAAACAAGTAAACGGATCTGGATATGGGTATTTGGTCTGACCCATATGTAGATCTGTTTTTTAGTACAGGATCCATATCAGACTTGGATCCGTCGAGTCCAATTTTACAGATGCATATCAGTGAAAACGAATATAGATCCACGAATTCGGGTCGGATACGAATCCATTGACATCCCTAGCTAGAATGTAACAAAAACTTAATTGAAAGTCTAATAATATAACTAGATAGAATAATCAAGTAAAAAAACTAAACATTGAATTGGGAGAACAAGATACGGTAACATTACCAATTTCAATCTTATTCTTTAACAAACCACAAAAATTGTAAAATTAAATTGTATAATAATTTTAGATCTAAGATTGCATAAATTTAGTTAGAAAACTAAAAATTTCTATAAAAAAAAACTACATTTACGTACATTCATGTACATACTTTAAAAAATTACTTGTATGAAACCTTATAACACAAGTATATTGCGATGATACGATCAACGATTTTGAGATGTCACGCACAAGGTTACCGAGTCTTCATCTTCTACATAGTTGTTTGTTGGTCAATATTTGATGACTGATAAAGCCATTGGTTGTTTCATGGAAAAGGAGGAGAGATATTAGATATTGAGTATGAAGAATAGAAGTTGGATGAGAGAGAATGGGAAATGTATGAACAGGGATGACGGCTAGAATTGAGGGTTATGTCACTTATATGTATTCCATAGTAGGGTTTTATCTTGAAATAAAAAATTATAATAAATTCTAAGAAACCAAATTTTTGTGATTTACAGTTACTTATTTTAAAATCTAAGCAACTGGAAATATCTCGTGTGAGATTTCTTTGACTAATAAGAAACCGGATTTTAGTGATACATGGTTTTCTATTATTATCTATGAAACCGGATATCTCCAATAAGATTTCTTAACAATAGAAACCAGATTAGTGATTAATACGGTGCCTTAAGAGTGGTTCCGTAGGCCTTTTTTGTAGTAGTGGATATACGGTCGATAAGTGACGGCAACCCAACACTCCTTAAAACCTGGATTCGCCATTGTATATATTCACTTTATATCTTATGATTCGCTTATTATAGGAAGACTATTCAATATATAAAAATAGTGATATAGACCCTTCGTTTTAAGGAGAAGATCTTATCTATTCAATTATTTGACCGTGATTTTTTTTACTTAATGCTAATATAAACTGCTTTTTAGCATTAAAAAAACTACTTCTCTATAGAGATGGCCATTTCGGATATCTGATCCGAAATTCCGGATCAACAAAATGCTGATCCGAATCCGATTCGGAAAATCCGGTGTTTAGGATCTAAAATTTTGGATCGGGTCACCGAATACCGGTCCGAAATTTTATGTTAAAGTTTTTTGTTTTTATAAATCTGAGCGAAATGTCTAAAGCAATTTGTTTCACCCATTTTGCTTCAATTTTTTCTAACAAAGTCCTAGCAATTGAGATACCGGGGACTTAGGGGTATAATAAAGAAAAGAATTTTTTAAAAAATAATTTTATCCTCAATTGCTTATGAGGCAAACCAGCTAGCAGCAATTCAATCATTCCTTGGACCTTAGGCAACCCTATCACGAGCATTTGAGCATCTATCAATCTTTATTCATCTCTAATTCTCTCTCCTCTCTAATTGTCTAACTCCTATGTGATTGAAAGAATGAA